AATTTCACCATTCAATCAAAAATTGCTGGCGATTTGGTGACATACCAATGATTCTGACTGGTCTTCCGGTTGACTTCAAACGATTGCAATTTCCAGTTCGACTTGCGTTCGCAATAACAAGTCGCAAGGCCAATCGCTTAGTGTTTGCGGGATAAATTTCAAATAGATTATTTAGAAAATCATTGTTTTTCACATGGGCAGTTATAGGTTGCCTGTTTACGAGTTGGAAAACCATCCGTTTTGTTTGTGTTAACGTCAGACCAAAAAACAAAAAATGTGGTTTACCAAAGAGCACTTCAATGAAACGGATAATTTTCGGATTCACTTTCATTTACTTAGAGAAGTTCAACTAAAATACACTTCATTTTTGTAATCGAAATAAATTCATTACTGTTGTAAAATAGAATCAAATTTTTCCTTTTCAAATATAAAACAAACAAAAAATTTCTTCATCTTTCTCACGAAACCATCTGGTGGCAAAACGGAGTTCGTCGGATTTGCTAGTTTATTATAAAAATGATGTTATATCAAAAACTATATATATATATATATATATATATATATATATATATATATATATATGTATTATATTGAAACTATAATCCGTTATCAAACCTAAAATTAAAAAATATTAAACCATATAAACGAATTCATACTGTAATCAATTAAATGCGACATTATTCAATAATAATATTAATTAATCAGTTGATGTAATATAAAATTAAGCGTAATACAAATTATTATGACATCAAACATTATTACATGGACTTTGATGAAACAAAAGTCCCACCACGGCTTATGATAGAATCAATAAACCGTGCAAGCATAACATGTAAATTAAATCATCTGTCGTTAAGGTGTATTTCTAAATACAACGTTATTCAAACGTCGGCGTCGGAGTGCGCGCGGATATGAGTAGGTACATATTGCGAGACCGCGAAATCAGAACAAGGAGGAGCTACGGAGAGAGCTACGCGAGATTGCAAACCCCGCCTATGACTCGCTACGAACTCTCGGCTACGGCCACGATCCGGCGGACGTACTAAGGTACGAATTATTCATTATAAAACTAGTGGGGCGCATGGCATCGTGCCTTAAGGCAAATTGCTGGAACTTCCCGTACCAACATTTTTTTTTTTTTTAAAGATTTACATTTTTGAAAAAAAATTACTCTGAAAAATTTGATTTTCGAGAAACTATAAATTTTTGACAAAAACTTACTTTTTTTTGAAAAAAAAGACTTTTTGAAGAAAAGTGTATTTTGATATATTTTAGAAATTCTGAACTTTTTTTCAAAGCAATCGTACTGCTTCAACTGCATAGAGACAAAATATAAAGCGCGTAAGCGCCGCGTTGCTGTCTAACGGGTAAACATTGGTACGGAACCCATAGGAATGTAAACAAAATTTATACTTATTGTTAAAATCTCTATAAAATATCTGATAATTTGATGTGCATATGTCTAATGATCATTTTTGACCAACAGATGGCTTTTTTTTACTTTTTTTACTGAATCTCCGAAACCGCTAGACCTGCCTTCATGAAAATTTGATGATTTCTTCATCTTGTTAATATAAGTAAAATGTTTTTTAAATTATTCAAATCGGACGCTCCGTTCTCTTAAAAACTGAGTTACCGTTTTTGGCACTTTTTGCCCCATATCTTCGGAACGACTAAACCTGCCGTCGCCAAAAACTAATTAGCACGTCTCCTTATCAATACAAATCGAATGTTTTTTAAATTATTCAAAGCGCTTTATCCGTGTTCCCGAAATCGTCGACGAAAATTTGTATCCGAACACACATACACACACGCACACACACATACATACTTTACTATATTTATATATATATTACTATAACTTACCAGAAGGGAAGTTAACAAAACATTAAAAATATTAGATTTTTGAATATTTTGAAAAAAAATTGACTTATGGGTTACCATACGTCCCGGTTTGGCCGGGACAGTCCCGGATTTCACCTTGTACCGTGGGTTTTTTTTTAATGCAAAGTTTGTCCCGGGTTTTCGAAAAGTATAGGCCTAAATTGATTCTTCGCTCTTACTTGATAATAAAATTATCAACTACCCCTCAAATATTTGAAAATGTTATGTACAACTAGTATGCTTATATAAAAAGGCGTATTAAAATAGCCTCTCACATTCATAATTTTTAACCTTTATTTCCAATCTTACGAAAATTAACAAAAATTTTGAGAGTGAACGTCTTCACTGCTGGAATGAAGCAAATGAATGTGCTAATTATTTTTAAATACTTATGAAAAAATTTTATAATAAGTTTGAAAGCTAAGAAACATATGGATACAAAAATATAAGATAAAATATAACATATAATCAAATGATAAAGTTCTTAGTCAGTAATTCTGATTAAAAAAAACTCATTTAAAAAAGGCGGATTTTTATTGTAATATGTACTTAAATAGTATTTGTTATTTTAAAAATATATTAATTTTTTAGCATTCACCACCTCTCCCCGTCCCGGATTAGCATAATTTAAAATTACCGTCCCGGTTTTGACTTGAAAAACTATGGTCATCTTAGTTTTAGTGGCGAATAATAGAAGCGCGTAAGCGACGCGTTGCAGTCTAATTGATGAACATTGGTGCAAAACCCATAGAAAAGTAAAACAAAATTTGAACTTATTTTTAAAATTACTATAAAACATCTGATAATTTTATGTACATATGTCTAATGATCATTTTTGATCAGATTTTTGTTTGTTTGTTTTATTTGATCCCAAAAACCGCTGGTCCTGCCTGATCCAAAATTTAATCAGTTCTTCATTTCGTTAATACAGATAAAATGTTTTGTGAATCATTCAGATCGGACACTCCGTTCTCTGTGACGCAATCTGAATGGCTATTTCTTGCACATTTTTCCCTGTATCTTTGAAACGTCTGGACCTGCCTTCGCCAAAAACTAATCAGAACGTTTCCCCATCAATACAAAATCGACTTTCAATAAAAATAAGTTAAAATTAGCTGTAGGTGGAATTCTGAATTAAGGCAATTAAGTCATCGTGCCTTAAGACAAATTGCTGGAACTTCCCGTACCAAAAATTATTATTTTTTTAAAAGCGATTAACATTTTTGAAAAAATTTTACTTAGAAAAAAATTGATTTTTGAGAAACAAAAAAAAATTGAAAAAAAAAGTTTTTTTCATTTTGGCATAGTTTGGAAATTCCGAACATTTTTTCAAAGCAATCGTACTGCTTTAACTGCATAGAGACGATATGTCAAACATTGGTACGAAACCTATAGGAATGTAAACAAAATTCATAATTATAGTTAAAATCTCTATAAAATACCTGATAATTTGATGTGCATATATCTAATGATCATTTTTGACCGCCAAATAGCTTTTTGTTTTACTTTTTTCATTAGATCTCTGGAACCGCTAGACCTGCCTTCATGAAAATTTGATCAATTCTTCATCTTGTCAATAAAAGTACAATGTTTTTTGAATTTTTAAAATCGGACGCTCCGTTCTCTTAAAAACCGTGTTACCGTTTTTGGCACTTTTTGCCCCGTATCTTCTGAACGGCTAGACCTGCCCTCGCCAAAAGCTAATCAGCACGTCTCCTTATCAATACGAATCGAATGTTTTTTGAATTATTCAAATCGGTTGATCCGTGTTCCCGAAATCGTCGACGAAAATTTGTATCCGCACACACACACGCACACACACATACATACACACATACACACACACATACATCCATTTTTTCTAAGGTATGCCAAAATATTTAGAAACCTTTGAAACGTAAAAATATATAAAAATTTTCATTTTCGATTATTTTGCTATTACTATAACTTACCCTACGGAAAGTTAAAAATGACATTTGGCGGTCAAAAATGTTTATTGGACATATGTACACCAAATTATCAGATATTTTATAGAGATTTTAATAATGTGTACACATTTTGTGTAAATTTTTTTGGGTTCCGTACCAAGATTTTTAATTAAGGTACGGGAAATTCCAGCAATTTGCCTTAAGGCACGATACCATGCACCCCACTACTTTTAAAATAAATCAATGATATAATCAATGATAATAAAAAATACGCCAAATGAAGATATTAAATACAAATTGAGTACTTGTCATTTTGTCATTATTCGAAAACAACGTGCTTCCTGAATACAGCACTGTCGCATATCGAGTCTCGCACAATATTATCACGAGAGAACAAACAGCGAGACCTACCGCACGTTTCCTCGCTCGCGGGGGTGGTTCGTGCGCGCGTCTCTGTCGGCCGCGACGAACAAGTGCCGCCCGCACGCAGAGAGAAAGACAGCGACGGTCGCCGGGCGTTCGAAATTTTTCCATGTTGTCATCTCGCGTTCCGCCGAGCGTAGCGTGAGCGAGTTATGGGTCGTCCCACCACGGATCACCAACCCCTAAATCACACCGGATCGCTCGCCCGCACCCGCAAATCACTCTCTTTCATTCGAGAATTATTCTTCGGGGCAACTGCTAATAGAGAAACGCTATTCACTGTAATAAGTCAGCGTTCTGATATCACTGCACGTGCAGACCTGTTTGTTCCTAGCTCTCATTGTCTGTTCTGTCGTTGTGATGTTAAAGGTGCGCTCTAGCAGTAACGGATAATTTGAATCTATAAATATATTATTACAGTAAATATAAACCTTCTGTTGTTTTAACAACTTATTGAAAATATTAGTGTGTTTTCGTAATTTTAGTGACTTTATATAATGTGCCATTTAGGTTTATAACAGTGATTATAAAATTTTTCCCATAAAAAGTTTGTTCAACCAAAATCATATTAAAAATACCTTAAAATGTGAATATCTTGTTTACGTGTTAACGATTAGCTCTTAATTGTATAGTGATAATCTAATTGCTTAGTATGTTTATAAATATGTACAGTGTAGTTCTTAACGAAACAATGCAGTGTTGTGCAAACTGTCCTGAATCATAAAAAGTGTCAATTATCTTATGGACGATCGTCGATTTAACGAAATGTTGCAGCCGCATGGAGCAACTTCTCTCGGACACTTTCTCCGGTTGCACCAACAGCATAACGGTCTTCACCAATTACACCCCACACAGCAACAGCACGGACACCTTCAACCTCAAATTGTACCATCGCAACATCATCAACAACAGTCACAACAAGTAGGTTCTCCGCAACAGATTGGAGCGACCGGTATTCCGGTATCGTCGGTCCTGAACGGTCAACACAACGTCGGCACAGACGTCGCAAGTGGCGGAGCAAAACCGTTCACGATCGCCGCGATTCTAGGATTGCAACAGGAAGACGGAACCGATTTAGGAGCTGTCATGAATCTTAGTCTTCATCGAACTAATGTCCAGTCAACAAACATATCCGGCCCACGGCTTATGCATCCTAGTCACAGACACGGTATGTTGTTCACTTAAAAAGCCATAATTTTATTGTGTTGTAATGTAGAAAAAGTCGTAGGTCATGCTGCCAGTTTACATTTATTTGAACAAAATACAATGTGTAACTACTCCTACTTCTTGTGCAACGACAAAACCAGAATAAAATTTGGCAAGTTATATTGGATTTGTATCATTTGATACATGGTATCGTATATATTTTTGGGTACGATATAGCCAATTATTCACATTTGCTTTTTAAATATTTAGACAATAGTAATAAATAATTCATTAATAATATATATACTTGCATACTTGCACAACCAATCTTATTATGCAGTAAATTTTAAAAATAAATGGTACTTTGGCAATAAACAGCTTGGAGAAATCTACAAAGTAATGCTTTTTTTCAAAATTAACGACCATAGAGAGCGTAGTCAATTGCATGATTAATTATTATTATTATTATTATATCACAAGTAAAATTAAAGTTTTCCACATTTCTAGTACCATCGAATAACTGCACTTATTTGCTAACCAATTAAAAAAAGTTATTGCAGAAAAAATGTTCCAAGTTGGTCAGGCATATATATATATATATATATATATATATATATATATATATATATATATATATATATGAATTAAGTTATCACATCTTTACAGAATATTTTTTTAATCAATCTAATCAGATGCTCCGTTCTTGCAAAATCGAATTAACATTCTTTGCCAAAAACTAATTGGCACGTCTCCTTATCAACAGAAATCGAATGTTTCTTGAATCATTCAAATCGGTTGATCCATGCGCCCGAAATTATGGACGAAAAATTGTGTTCTTACATACATACACACACATATCTATTTTTTCTAAGGTATGCCAAAATGTGCACAAACCTCGGAAAGAGGTTTCAGAGGTTTCTCACATTTTCATTTTCCATTTTTGTACAATTACTATTATATGACTTACCATACGGAAAATTAATAATGAATTTAGTTATTGTTCATTCATTCAAAAATAACTATTAAATGCAATAATTTAATAATACTATTCTTATCAAATAGCAATTCTTTGTTTCCATACATCGTAGGTATTTAAAAATATTTTTAGATACATTCTGTAACTAACAAATAATTTTTTTTTCTAAATTAAAAACGAGTCATAAAAAGAAATCATGCAACTATGTGCATAATAGATCGCAGTTAAATATCTTCTGACTAAAGTACGCTCTGTCATATCAATGGGTACACATTTACCTTAAATATTTCTTCCACTGTGTTTAAGTCATAAGTTTTGTCTTTATTTTAATTTAACACAGCTCATCAGGATGATTTTTAATCTTTTTGTTTTTCATTTTGAATTATTAAAACTAATTTATATATCCAAATGAGTTGTCAAGATTAATCGAACGTTATGTATTATATTATATACAATGATATCTTAATATTTTCAGTTATTCCAATATATGAATATGTACTTTCTAGCGTACATTGTTTATTTTATTATTATTATTATTATTTTAAACCAATAGACGTTAAAAAGAAATTAACTAGTGGTGCATGGCATCGTGCCTTAAGACAAATTGCTGCAACTTCCCGTACCGTGATGAAAAAATAGTCAAGGAATATTAAATGCTTTCAAATAGATTATTATAAATACTGTAACTTTCATTATTTGTATCTTATAGACTACATAAAAAGTAAGCAAACAAAACTTGATCAAGCGGAGTTAGAATGAAAGAAATTCATCTCATATTTCTTAGAATTATATAAGCTTTTTTTTCTCTCTTTTTTTAATAATCATCAGAACATAAATAAATTATATAAACTGAATTGCAAAATTAAAAGTTTTTATTTCAAGGTGATTTTTAGAATTTTAGCTAGAATTAAAATTGAAATTCGAATCATTTTGATATTAAAAAATAAATTGGAAACTAAAAAAATTCTTTTTGAAATTTTGAAATAAAAAATACCTTCCTCAAAAAAGAATCGTTTCTTCACAAACAAAATGTTTTTTGAATAATTCAAATCCGATGCTTTCTCTTCTCAAAAACTGCCAGTTTTTACATTTTCAGCTCCTTATATTTGAAACAGCAAGTCTGTCTTTGCCAAAAACTAATAACTACATCTTATCATCATTACGAATTGAATGTTTTTAGAATCATTCAAGTCGGATGCTCGGTTCTCTCAAAAACTTAATTTCCATTTCCACTCTTTGCTTCGCATCTCCGAAACGGCTTGACCGAATGCTTATTGAATCATTCAAATCGGTTGAGCGTAGGTCTTGAAAACGTGGATGAAAAATTGTATCCACACATATATAAATATACACACATGCGTACACGCGCACACATATCCATTTTTATGAAGTATGCCAAAAGGTTCACAAGCTCTTAAAACGTGAAGATATGCAAAAATGTTCATTTTTGATTTTTGGATGATTACTATAACTCACCCTACGGGAAGTTAACAAACAAGTGCTCATGAATAGTTGAGTTAAGATATTTCACTTACAAAAATTTTTTCTAAGCTTAAATTCAAAATAAAGTTTTTTTTTTAAGAAAAATCATACATACTGCCGAAAGTATTTAAGTTATTTAAGATGTTTTTAAAATTACTCATAAAAACACAATGAGAAAGAGCAATTAACTGCTGATTTAATTAAGGAACAAGTTTCAAGAGCATAAGCATAATAAATATATTGTATATTGTCAATTAAAGCACAGTTAAGGAATAATCAACAACATCAAAATCATATTACAAAAGCATCAAAATAGTAATTGTCTCAAAATGAAAGGTTTAAAAGTCTTTTGCAAATCGTTTTTTGGCAGTCGTTGGTACATCTAATTTATAGACTCATCTTAATTGCTTAAATTTTATTCATACTGTATAAATAACAGCAAAGATTTTATACTGTCAATATTGTAATATATAATATAATCATTAAATTATCTATGCTAACTAGTAGTAGCATATTACTGTTACATCCATTATAAACAATTATTTTTATAACAATTATATCTTTTCCTCAGAACACACGATAGGAAAGAAAGGATCATCGAAAAGCAAAAGAGTTCGGACGATATTCACACCTGAACAACTTGAACGACTTGAAGCCGAATTCGAGCGGCAGCAATACATGGTTGGACCAGAGAGATTATATTTAGCACATACCCTACAACTTACAGAAGCACAAGTTAGTTATAATTTCATACTTCTATAATGACTAAACAATTTAATTTTTTTAACGATAACTAAGTGTTAGAGGCATTTTTCCTTAAGACGCCTCGTCCATTAATCACGTGAAGGGGGGGGGGGTCTTTGACAAAAAATTACGGAATATCACGTGGGGCAGAAAAGGTAAATTAATAGTAAGATATCACGTGTATTTATTCTTTACCTAGTTTTTTTAAAAAAAAATCCAAACATTTTCAATAAAATAAAAATCATTACAATTTTTTCTCTTAACTAAAAAATACACGTAATGTTTAGTAGGGGAGGGAAAGTAATTTTAAACATCACCACGTATCACCAAAAAGGAGGCGGGAGGGTTCAAAAATCCTTAAAAAATCGATCACGTGATTATTGGACGCCCCCTGAAGCAAGTTGCTTGAACTTGTCAATATGTGTAGTAATCGATTTGAACAGAAATTGAGATTCAGCTATTTTGATTTGTTTGTTTCGAAAATAAACTTTTTGTTATCTCTAGAAACTAATCAATGCGATTTCCAATTGATTTTTCTCAAACAGATTTGTAATTAAATTAATTCTAGTTGACGAACGTGTGCTTGTATGTCTTAAAATCCCATTCCAAATTTTATTGTATTTTTATAATTCATTCGACTAGTCCTCGTCAATTACTTTTCGTAGGCCTCTAATTTTTTAGGATGTTTACATCATAAACTCTATTCAAGTTCAATTTTATTAAAAACAACAAAGATTTTTTTTCAACAATTAATTACCTAATCAGCACGATTCTCAATCGCTTTTCTTATTTTTAAAATCGGTTGAAGATTGTTTGCCAAAACGATTTTTTTTACTTTTCTGGTAGTTTCGAAAAAAACGGCTCCGCCGATCGTCTCACAGCCCTAATCAAGGCTCCTTCCTTACCAAATGTCTTCGACACATACATTTTCCAAATCCAGTTTCAAACGTTTTAGAATAGCTTAAAATGTCAAGAAAATAAAATTAGCAAATCGGATTTTGTGGCGTAAGACCTTTTGGAAACTTTCGTACCTGTTATACCGCACTGCTAAATTCGATCATTCAACATTCTGAAAATTATAAAAAATTTTACTTCGTTCTAAAAATGGACTTTGTTTTAATCTTTTCGGTGAGTGTTTTACATCGGTAATATAAAACTGACGCTAAAATAATTTCAAACGCTTAAAAGCAAACACTTTGAATCTCTTTAATGTTAAAAAAAAACATTTTTCATTATTCCCCAAAATTTCATGGTAATTTTAATGTAGTTAACCCCTTAACTTATAATTTAGATTCGAAAATGTTGGGCCAAAGTTGTACAAGTTGGCGCAGAGTTTGTGACTATTTTCCCACACAACGTACAGTTTATCACAAAAATAAAAATAATTTTATGTTTTATAGTTTTGGATGAATATATTTTTGCAATACCGTACCGGACCATGCCCGTAATTCGTAATATTTGCTTCTGGATCGATAAGAATTATGATGATGGGCTATGCCCATAATATTTTCGCAGCCATTACTCGTCATTGTAAGGGGTTAAAAAGTGACATCAAAAATTGAAAATTGTAACACAAAAATTAAATATTAATAATGGTTATAAAAACTTTAAATAAGTTTATTAATATTCATCAAATAATTGTTTATAAAAGATAAAGTTCCAGCTATTTACCTTGTAGATAAGCGGCAAATCCTCAGGCTTTTAGCGACAAGGTTCAAATCTCACGTTGCGTGCATCCAGATAGTGATATCCATTTTATCTTAAAAAATTTTTCGAAATTATTTCAAAGTGAACATAGCCCTTACAGGCTATTTACTTAGTGCAATAACTGTTTTAAAAAATCATCATCATTAAAAATGGACTACAGTCTTGGGTTCACCATTAATAAGAATATCACAATTAGAACAGGACAACATTGGGCAGCCTTCTACTAGCCATGAGTAAAAATGATCAACACAACAAATAATACTATAAATCACAATAGCTTAATAGCAAAAATCAGTTTACAGTTCACAAATGACCTTATCATACACCGGTAAATTCTATAAACATTACGTCACTGTAAGTGCTGTATCAGCAGAACTATTCCTTCGTCTAATTTCTTTCGAATTCACTTTCCAACAGGTAAAAGTGTGGTTCCAAAACCGCCGCATAAAGTGGCGCAAACATCACCTGGAAGTGACTCAGCAGCGACTCGCCATGATCAGGCAGCGGCAGCTAGGATGCGCCACTCCCCGATACGATGTGGAACCCGCCGGCAACCTGTCCGACTCGATGGACACGGGCAGTTCGCCTGAAGATTCATGAGCTACACATTTTGCGATGTAATAGAAATATAATTTTTATTTATATTAAAATAGGCCCAAATGACTGTTTTATACTTCGACGTGGCAACTGAGAAGCAGACGGAAAAAATATTATTTGATATTGACGATTCATTAAAACATGGCAGCGGCATAATATTAACCCTTTGCGCACGGCACCGATTCATAATATTGTGTAAATTGTGCAATTTGGACATTGAAAAATATACATTTGCATTAATATCTATATTTATTTTCTACGGCATGGTAAAGTTAAAAGCAATTTCCAAAAGGCATAGCGGGTTGATTTTGCGGTCGTTTCAATTAATTAGTGTCGTGGCAGTTTCTTTTATCATTCCACAGTTAAACGCAATAATATATCATTTAACACTTTCGGGACGGCACCCATTTCAAAACAATCTACTTTACCGGCTGTAAACTTGACTTGAAGGACATACATTTATAATATTAATTTATTTTTGATCATTTTATAAAGAATGGTGACGTTCAAAACAATTTCCAAAATGCATAGCTGGTTGATTTTGACATGTTTTACAATAAAATGTTGTTCGCCGCCTTTCTCCTGGTGCTTTTCTGTCAGAACAGAAAATACAATCCCTTTTTCTTTCACTCGCATTTAGAATATGCCACTGCTTAGTCAGTATATTTGGTCATTTTTTTGCTGCCATAATGGTTTATTTTTTCTATTATATTGTCTATAAAGTAAAATAATCTATTGGATGTCTTATATTGCTTGGTATTTGTAGTCGGGGTGTTTGTTGATGTATGTCAATCTCGATTATTGAAGGAGAATCGAAACATTCGCTAATGTCTTTCCGCTCTTCATTTAATTTGTCGAACTTCTTCTTGTTTTTGTTGGTTTGATAATATCATCATCACATTCATCACTATCATCGGTGCGAATAGTAATTTCGTAAAATTTGTCTGTATTTGAAACTCATCTTCACTACTGCTTAATTTTCAAAATTCACCAGTCGTTTTGTCATATTTAAAAGCGCTAAGTCGTTATAAATATTAAAAAAAAGACCATAAAGCAAAGAAAAAGGCTAAAAATACTACTAAAATAACTTAAAATTATTATCAAAATACAATACTGTTTATCACTGCTATATGTGATTTATTCAACTTTTCGATGCAAACTGAGTCATTGTTTATAAAATAGCCTGTGCCTCACAGAGTATGTTTGTCCACTGAGGTGGACAGCCGTCCCCAAAGTGTTAATATAAACGATAATAATATATCGTTTTTTATGTGTCTCTTTCATTTTTATGAAAATATTGCTTTACAAATTGCTCGGTCGTTTTATCGTATTTAGAAAACAAATTGTTATGTAATAAGAAAAGGAAAAAAATACTTTGAAAATAACAAATAGTAAATTTCAAATACAGCATTATCTTGTCACTGCATAGATTTATTTAAAAAATGAGCAACCATTTTATCTCAAGGGCCAAATTTAAATTTTAAAGTTTTTTGGCAGGCCACACTTATTATTAATTTGTTGATAATTTATAAAAATAATTCTACTTTAGAAATGCTTGGCAGACCAAAAAAAAAATTTAAAAAGCCGCATAAAGCCCGCGGACCGCGGGTTGCTCATCCTTGATCTATTGTTTTCGATGCTTTAGTGCAAACTGAGTCATTCTGAATACGAAGTGCCGAGTGCCAAAGCGGATACAGCCGAGTGATATGCTAACCTTATGTTTTCCCCAAAAAGGGACAGCCGGCGCAAAGGGCTAATAGCTAGCAAATGTTACTTTCAGAGACCGATACTGCCGCATAACAGACAAATGTTATGGCAAGGCCATGTTAGGCTTCAACTCCCATACATTATACTACTGAATCATACTAAATACTGTCAAATTATCATGTATTTGCTGTGCATTCAGGCGTTTTACACATAAACTGCAACGTCACTCGTGTGTTGTGAACCTGAATCAGAAAGACCCTCTTATCTAACATCGTTTTTTTACATTTGTGCGGTATTTAAGTTATGTTTTTTATCTGACAACCCGAGAAAACCGTCTGACTGCACAGCAACCGCATGGCTTATGTCAATAGTTAGAACGAATTTATATGGAAAGTCTTTCATAGCATAGCCTTGCCATAACATTGGTCTGTTATGCGACAGAATCGGTCCCTCAATCTAATAGTATGTAATATTTTCATGATTGTCTAGTCTGATATTTGATTAATTGTTTATAATAATTTAATATGATCAAATACTATGATCGATGATGTTCATAGGTATCTTTTGCGTCAGCAGAGGCATTTATAATTTCTTCTTTTTGTGAAGTGTAAACTTGTTTCATCAAAGGATCAGTTTCATCACCGTTGTTATAGCCTATGTATATTCTTTTAGGTTTAAGAAGAAAATATAAAGAAATAACAAAGCAATATGGTATAGCTAAGAATCCTTCAATCTAATAATTATGAATATTGCTTATAAATTTTGATTCTCGAGTACATTGCTAATGTTATAGATGACATACAATTTTTTTTGTATTACAAAATAATTTTTATGTTCATTATAGTTTATAGCAAGTGGTAAAAAACTATTTCTTATTGTACAATTTGACGAAATTATAAATGATTAAGTAATTTATTACTTAAAATTCATTCCGAGAAAAAGAGTTGTAGCACTGGGGCTGATCATTAATTTTAGGTTTAAATTTTGCAATACGCAGGTTCAAATTTTATGATGATAGAAGAGAGTTTGTATCGTCGAAAAAGAATCGTAACTAATCGAAGTTGGTCTACTTGTTCGGGGTTTTTGGTAATAGTTAACGTTAAATCCACACGTTAAAATTCTTCGAATTATTATTTCACATAGAATAATTGATTTTCATCATACTAAATAGATTTTAACAACAATTGTGAGAAAGAGTAACAAAATTTTAAATTTTGTATTCCATTAATGATAAAAATGCCAATTAGTTGATTCTAATCGATAGATATATCAACAAAAAATTGAGAATAATTTCAAAATAAAATATTAAATGTATTTTCATGGTACCAAATATTTCTGATATTAGTGATTAATTCCAATTAATTCCGAGGCAGTCAGGTTATTTTTTTTAAATGTACATATACATTCATTAAATAAAATATAGATATATATTATATAAAGTTTTAAGGTTAAACTAAGAATTTCACACCTTCCACCAAAATTCATTGAATTTGTTAGTTTAATAGACCTGATTAGAGAATAAATAATAGTGGATATGTAATGTATTTGTGAATGTTTGTGGTTTGTTCCACCAACTTTATTCTTCTCGCACACTTTAAAACCTATATTGTAAATATTATGAAATGAATTGTGAAAAACTTTCAAAGTCTTCGTTTTGAAAATAATATAGCCAAAAGGCTGTATAGTGTTTCATATGAAGTTTTAAATTGCACAGTCGTACTATAATATAAATATTTGAATACAAAATTGATTTTTGAATTATTTTCATTTTTTAACATCCCGTAGGGTAAGTTATAGTAATCGCAAAAAAATCGAAAATGAAAATGTTTATATACCTTTACGTTTCAAAAGCTTCTGATCATTTTGGCATACCTTAGAAAAAGTTGATGTATGTGTGTGTGTGTGAGCGTGTGTGTATGTGCGGATGCGGATACAATTTAGCGTCGACTATTTCCAAAACACGGATCAATCGATTAGAATAATTCAAAAAACATTTTATTCCCACTGATAAGGAGACGTGCTGATTAGTTTTTTAGCAAAGGCAGGCCTAGCCGTTTCAAAGATACGGGGCAAAAGTGCCAAAAAAGGTAATTTAATTTTTGCGAGAACAGAGCGTCCGATTTGGATGATGCAAAAAACATTTTATTTGTATTGACAGAATGAAGAACTGGTGAAATTTTTGGAAAAGCAGGTATAGCGGTTTCGGAGATCCAATAAAAAAAGTAAAAAAATGCCATTGGGCGGACAAAAATGATCATTAGACATATTCACATCAAACTATCACATATTTTATAGAACGAAATTATCCGTTATACTGCAACGCGGCGCCCACGCGCTTCGATATTTCGTTTCTACGCAGCTAACGTGTTTTTGTAGTATAAAAGAATTAAATATTTGAAAAAGGTAATTTTTTTCGAAAATTTTAGAAATTCTCAAAAAACTATATTTTCAATATTTTCAAAAAAGTTGAAAGCTTTTTTAAAAATTCTAATTCTCGGCACGGGATGTTTCAGCAACTTGCGTTAAGGCACGATGCTATGCACCACTAGTTTAGTTTCAATCTTAACATTTTTTCGTTTTTTAGACACCATTTGTATACATAAAATTAATCCAATTAAATATCGCGTGCGTTGAATAAATAAGCAAAACAGCAAAATAAATCTGTAAGTTCTATAGTATAATCTGTGTTTTTATCAATACTCAATGACATTGTTACTAACTTGCAACAAACTACTCCAGATTTTATTTTATCAAAAAAGTTTTAATATAATCTATGTTGCTTTTACTACTCTTTTACGCATTTTGCCATACATGTGGAAACAATTTAATGTTTCTCAATAATTTTTACCCCCACATAACACAAATAAAGTACGCAAATTCGAATTAAAGACCTCGGATGCAATAAATATAAAGTAGGGCTAACGACAGAGCATAGATCACAGATGAAATAAAGCATGAAAATCGCGGTCCAAGAATGTCGGAAGGGAGAGCGCGGCATCCCCTATACGTCGGTTACATAGGAGAATCCTACCCCAGCATGCGCAAAGCGTGCTTCATCTTTCTATGTCATTTCAATTAATATAATCCTCGAGTTGACATTAATTGTGTAATGTGGCCAGTTAAAAAATGTAATAATGCCTACAGTCGGCAACGACAAACGTTCGGGGGAGGCTTCGCTTTTATAAACAGATAGTACAGAGAGGAATTAGGAAGCATTCATAACTGATGGTGCAGTGCATGGCCTCGTGCCTTAGGACAAAATGCGGGAACTTCTCGTACCAAAGATTATTTTTTTT